ACACCTAAAGTATTGGTCAGAATTGGGAAACACTCAGGCCTGTTAATGAAGCGTTTACTGGCTCTGTTACACTAGGCAGCTGGTAATATGGTAACAGTTCCTTGTGTTGTTGCTGTGAGACCTGGCAAAAGCAACTTTACAAAGGAAGGGCTGATTTCTGGCTCATTGTTTGAAGACACAAATGGCTTGAAGGTGTCCTGGCCAGGAAGGCATGGTAGCAGCTGCAGGAAGCAGCTGGTGACATTGCATCTGTTGTCAGGAAGGAGAGAACAATGAACACTGGTGTGCTCAGCTCACTCACTCTTTTTTTTATTCAGTATAGACCCCAGTCAATGAAGGTGCTGCCCACATTTAAGGTGGATCTTCCCACCTCATTTATAAAGCCCAATCTAGAAAGTTCTCATCGATGCCGAGGTTTACGTCTGCTAGATCGTGTCAGGTGGACTGTATTAGCCATCACGATTCCAAACCTGTAACGTGATACACAATATGTGCCCAGCCTATGTCTCCAGAGACCATCTGTCACGTCCCTTTGCACCTCTGAACTCACTGCAGAATGACAGAGTCTGGTTTACATTTTAGAAGGAAGTCTCTGAGTTTGTGTGGAGGAGAAAGGGGAAGGGTCTGGCTTAAGGGAAGTAAAACCAGGTAAGGCGTCACTTACAGACAGGATGTGGTTAAGGAGGGCCTGGGGTAGGGCAGTGGTGGAGAAGCAAGGGAGAAGTGGTTGGCTAGGATTTATGGGATGTAGAGACCTTCTTGATGTGGCTACGAAAAAAGACATTTCTTTGGAACTTCCAAAGTCCTGACGTGGGATCGACAGCCTGGGACCAGAAGCAGTTTCAGGGAAAGAGGCAGATGTTGTCAATTCAGGAGTTTGAGATGCTTGTGGTGAGCTTACACGGAGCTGCAGCTGGCTGATGAGCGCGTGGGTTTAGAGCCTGGAAATGACATCATTTCTAATCTGGATGCCTTTTAAGCCTGAAACACAATTATCCTTGGGCATTTCTTCCCTGGAGTTTAGCATTTAGCATCCTGGGAAGCCAGCATTTCCTGTTTCTCTCTTTCTTGGTATACTAGTTTGTGCTGTTAAGTGTACTGTTAAGTAAATTCCTGAGGATGACTGAGAAGTAAATATCACAGCCCTTGAAATTCTGTTTTGTTTCCTTTAATCTAGTTGAGTGGGGTATAGAATTCCCAGTTCAAAAGCACTCGCCACCTGAACTTCATTACTGACACCAATGCTGGTTTACCACTCATCCACTCATCGGTTCGGCCTCCTTTTGTCGGCCATTTCCAGCCGCCAGGCACTTCCTTCCAGCTTCGCTGATGCTTCCCTCTGCTTTATCTTTCTAGAATTCATGTTTCTTGGATACTGTGCCTCTTCTATTAGTGATGTGTCTCTCCCTGTCCTGAGAGAGTGCACTCGGTATACTATTTTATATCTGATTATTTTGGTCTTGAAGGATCCTCTTTCGTAAACGGACTGACTCTCAATTTTTTTGATATTAATAAAAGTCACTTTGCAATTTTTCTGAAATTCCCTCGGGCATCTTTTAGGGATGGCTTTAGCGCTTGCTTCTGCTCTCCTTAGTTCACCTGGTTTTTCTCCCATTTGTCGAATTGTCCTTAGTGATCCTTCAGTCATATTAAGAAGGGTCTAAGGCAGTGGTTCTCAACCTGTGGATTGTGACCCCTACACGAGTTGCCTAAGACCATCTGAAAACATGGATTCCCGATGGATGGTCGTAGGAACGGAGACACTGCTTCTTTATCCATCTCAGGCGGGTCTGCCCACCTGAGTACCATCCAGAACCTGGACTGTATTAAAGGGTCACAGCATTAGGAAGGTTGAGAACCACTGGTCTAAGGAATGGTGGTGTTTTCTCCACCACTGCATAAAAACAGGACTGTTTTTATCCTACGTTCTCCTCACAGTGAGAGAGCAGATTAAAGTCTGTAAATGTGGCATGTCAGGGCAGGAGGACTGTTTTGGATTGAGAAATCAGGAGTAAGATATTTTGACTGTGTCCCCATGAATGTCACAATTGGAAACATATAATTTTTGCATATAAAGGCCTCACATCTATGCTAGAAACTGTATCAGATGACTTCAGTGTTCTCGTGGGAGAGCCTGCACGTTCCTAGGCCAGAAGAGAAGTGCTTTGTTCTGTGTGAAGGAGATGATCCCAGGGATGCTGGCAAGTTCTTGTTTTCTGCTCCTCCTCTTCCTCCTCCTCCTCCTCCTCCTCCTCCTCCTCCTCCTCCTCCTATCCCTGCCACCTACAGCACACACAGGCTCTGAGAAGAGGTCACCTCAGGCTTCCCAAACAGAGTTTTGCACTTCCCACGGAGCACACTTACAACATCTGGACCAAATGTTGTCTGCTTCTTTCACCCAACAGCTTGCTTTCACACCTTTTTTTTTTTTTTTTTTTTTTTTTTTTTTTTTTTTTTTTTTTGGTCTGCCAGGAAATTGTCGAAACCTCACCTGCCGGTTCACTACACCTGTTGTCCTTTCAGATGGGTTCTTTTTTTTTTTTTTTTTCATTTTTCTTTATTAAGAAATTTTCTACTCCACACACCACCCACAGATCCCCCTCCTCCCTCCTCCCACCCCCCAGCCCTTTCTCCTAAGCCACTCTGCATCCCCACATCCCCCAAATCGAGGTCTCCCATGGGGAGTCAGCAGAGCCCACCACACTGAGCCTAGGCAGGTCCAAGCCCCTTCCCACTGCACCAAGGCTGCGCAAGGTGTCACACCACAGGCACCGGATTCCAGAAGCCTGCCCATAGACCAGGGACAGATCCCGATCCCCCTGCCTGGGTGTCCCCCAAACAGTTTGAGCCAAACAACTGTCTTCCGTACCCAGAGGGCCTAGTCCAGTTCCATGGGGACTCCACGGCCACCAGTCCACAGTTCATGGGCTTCCACCAGTGTGGCTGGTCATCTCTGCATGTCCTCCCATCATGATCTCGACTTCCCCTGCCTGCAGAATCCCTCCTCTCTCTCATCAATTGGATTCCTGGAGCTCAGCCTGGTGCCTGGCTGTGGATCTCTGCATCCTCATCCATCAGTCACTGGACAAAGGCTCTATGATGACAACTAGGTTATTTGCTAGGCTGGTCACTAGAGTAGACTGGTCCAGGCACCCTCTGAACCACTGCCAGCAGACCAAGGTGGGGTCATCCTTGTGGATTCCTGAGAGCCTCCCCAGTACCCTGCCTTTTCCTATTCCCATGATGACCTCATCTATCATGGTATCTTCCTCCCTGCCCTCCCACTCTGTCCCTATTCCAGCTTGACCCTCCCATTTCCCTATGTTCTCATCCCCCACTCCTCATCCTCTGCCACCACCCCCCACACCCAGTCCGCTCATATAGATCTCATCCACTTCTCCTTCACAGGATCATTCATGTGTCCCTCCTAGGGTCTTTCCCTGTTAGCTAGCCTCTCTGGAGTTGTGGGTTGCAGTCTGGCCATCGCTTCCCTCACATCTAGTAGCCACTTATGAGTCAGTACATACTATGTTTGTCTTTCTGAGTCTGGGTTATCTCACTCAAGATGATATTTTCTAGTTCCATCCATTTGCCTGCAAATTTCATGACGTCATTGTTTTTTACTGCTGAGTAGTACTCCATTGTGTATATGTGCCGCATTTTCTTTATCCATTCAGATGGGTTCTTTAATGTATCTCTATAATTTTATTTCAGAGGGCCCTTAGAGAAACAAGATGCGCCTTGAGCTACAATATAATTCACAATTTTGTATAACTGCATCTAAACTAAAAGTGTATGTATGTATATGATTCATCCCCTCAATGAGTAAGTATATCTATAGTTACAGACATTCCTTAACATTCATTCATTTAATAGCTGTTTTTGATAAGCAAAGATTATTCTTCAGGTACTGTAGACATTCAGTTAAAAAGATATAGCCTGCTCTGTGTATTAAGGACACAGATCACAAGCAGAGTTTCAATGTATTTTAGCAAGGACTCAGCAATGCAAGAAAACACTGGGAAAACTGGAGTTCTCAAGATGCCTGAGAACATTATGAAATGATTCACAAAGAAATTGGTTATCAAAGTCTGCACCTAAAGGAAGAGTTAGTTTTCCAGGCAGTGAGAGTATGGATGCACTAGAGATCAGGACAGAGTGACCTGCATGCATCTACAATGTGAGGAAAACAGGACAGCTCCAAATAACAAAGACTATGCAGATCAAAACAGTGACTGTATAGAGTGTGCTATAGAAGTCCTTACATGACCACACCCAGCAAACTGCCATACAGCCCTGGCCCAGGGAGAAGGTCCTAGCTCAGCAGTTCCCATGAATTCTTGAACAGATGTGAGAATATCAGGGTGGGGAGAGACACAGGTGCCGCAAGTACCTCTTGATCACAGGCAAATGGCTATACTGTGCATTTGCTTTGGACCACAATACAATATCCTACAGATTAGAGCAGTCACTTCAGGAGTCACCAGTATAGGGAGAAGACCAAAGCACTTCTCAGAGCTGAAGGGCAGAGGAAGCGAGGATCCAAAGGGATCGCCTGGGACCTGAGTGCGAGCTGGCCACCTGCTTGCAAAAGGTAATGTGAGCCATTCTGCTCTGTGTATCAGATAAGGAGGACAAAAGGAAGTCTAAAAGGCTGAACACTTCCAAAGGATGATGTGTGACCTAGGGGTGACGCCTTGCCAACCACCCAGCAGGAGGCAGGCTCATGAGAAGCACTAGGTTGGTTGTAGGACATAGTGCAACTTGGTGCATTTGGGTGTACAGTGTGGATGAAGCCTCCAAATTATTTCTGGTTATTACTGAGATTATTTCTGGCATTTGTTGAGTAACAATATGATAGGATTAGATTTTACTTGGACATTCCTTTATATCAGTAAAAACCTCATACTTGTCCTATGACTTCAACTTTTTAATTATAGGTCATTGCCAGTTCAAGAAAAAAAAAAACAGGGAGAATTATTTTGACACATTCTACTTACTTCTTTTTTTAGCCAGTCATTCTCCCAGATCTCTCGGTAGTTGCCCTTGTCAATGAACCTCACGGCATTCTACAAGAAAAGTTTTATATGAAGGAAGAGTTGTCATAAGGTGACACACAGTGTCAGCACTGGTGGGACATGGTTCGTCTCCTCCTTTGTTTGCATTTTGTTTTGAACCATATCCCCAGCCTGATATTTACAACTTACCCATGAGACTTTTCTAGTGGATGGCACTGTATTTCTTTGTGAGATAGTTTCATATGAACATCGTGTCTCAAACCCAACATTCAGTTACTAAAGGACAATACCTCTTTTTAAATACATTGATTTTTAATTTTTTTAAAGATTTATTTATTTTATGATTTTATGTGTTTGAGTGTTTTTGCCTTCATGCATGCATGTGTACCATATGCCTGCCTGGTGCTCAGAAGAGGGCACCAGATACCCTGGGAGTAAAGTCACAGATGTCGTGAGGTCGCTGGGAATTGAACCTGGGTCTTCTGAGAGAGCAGCAAGTACACCCAACCACTGAGCCAACTCTCTAACCCGAGATGAAACCTCTTAAAAGGAGAAAAACTAAAAGGATGTAGCAAGAGTGAGCCAAGAGAAGTAGGAGCTGGAGAAACGCACGTGTGGCAAACGCTCACCGTATGAGCTTGAGGGTCTGAGTTCAATTCCTAGCACTCACACAAACAAGCCAGCTGTTGGTGCGAGATGGCTTCATGGGTAAAAGCACACACTGCATCAGCTCTACAACCTGAGTTCCATACCCAGAACCAACAGTGGGAAAGAACCGAACCCCCAAAGTGGCCTTCCGACCTCTCTGTGTGTGCCATGGCACATGTGCATCCATATACACATAACTTAGAAAGCAAAACTTGGACGTGGTGGTGTGCTTGCAGTCCCAGTGCTGGGGAGGTGGACAGGTGAAGGATGCTGGGGCTCACTGGCCACACGGCCCAACCTAATCAGTGAGCTCCAGGCCAGCGGAAGCTGGGTAGACAGCTCCTGAGGAACAACATCCAAGGCTGGACTTTGGCCTCAACGTGTGTGTGTGTGTGTGTGTGTGTGTGTGTGTGTGTGTGTACACATCTGTGCACACACTTAAATAAGAAAGAAATGTCCTAGACTGTAAACATGGACAGGAATGATTTAATAGTATGTTAAAGATAAGTTGATTTGTTAAGTCTTTGAAAGTAGAAGATTTCAATGAAAAAAACTTTAGATAAACAAAAAAAGATTCATGTTTATTAAATTCAGAGATGGCATGCATTTCCTAGGAATGTTTATATTCCAGCTATAACTGATAACTCACATTTCCACCACCATAAACTATCATTAATTTTTTCAGATTGTTTATTTTTGTGTACAGAGTTATGTCTACATGTGTTTGTGTACCATGTGTGTGCCTGGTACCCAAGGAGGTCAGAAGAGGGCATAGGATCCCTTGGAATTGGGGTTATGGATGGTTGTGAGCTGGGATGTGGGTGCTGGGAATCAAACCCATCTACCCTGTAAGAGCAACAAGTGCTTTGAACAGTGGATCCATCTCTCCAGCCCCTTCTGGTTTTGTTCCCCCATAAAATATCATCTGAACAAAATCTGAAGGAGGTCCTAACTGAGATTAGCTGGCTTGTTGCTTAATTCACTAACAATGGGCCAGTGGTTTTAACTTTTGTTCTGTATCAGAACCCAATGAAAGCCGGAAAATCCATAAGCCAGGACAATATCCCAGAGCAATTACATTAGCATCTCTGTGGGTGGGACCCAGGCACCATGGGGTGATACATGAATTGCATGTCTAGTTAGGTTGCACAGCACAGAACACAGGAAGCCACAAAAGCCTGACACTGAGCCATGATCTGAAAAGAGCTCTGAACTGAATCTGGATCCTTCCATGTGTTCTGTGCAGGTCACTGTTCTCTATGACACTGTCCCATTAGCAAACCTCTAGAGCTTTAAGGATTGCTGAGAGATTTAAATGTCAGATGAAAGCTTGGGACAGTCCTCGAGATGAACACTTGACACTACAAGTCAGCTTTGTTTCATCTTGTCATGTGATACCCACACAGGCATTTTAAGTCATTTACACTGTGGTCAGATCACGGCGAGATGGATTTCACCATCTCGTCCGACTCGTCACAAAGTGACCCGACTGCATGAACAGACAAACCATTGACCGGTTCCCCGATATCTTTGTCTTTGCAAATCTGTAGATGTCAGGCAGACAGAGTGCCATTTAAGAGCAATGGAACCCACGGGGACTCGATGAGCATCGCCGCTGAACTGCTGACGGCACTTTTGGAAACATCCGAAGCTTAGGGTTCTGAAGAATGGGTGGGCTTTAAACAGGAATTCCCTTTACCGACCTAGGAAGGAGTCAGAATACAGGAGAAGCACTGTGCGCATGTGTGTTGTGGGGAGAGTTAGACTTTCCATGTCAAACAAAGTCATGAGAGAACAGAGATGACTGGGAATTTCATCTTGAAATATGATTTGTAGCCCAACTCTTTTCTTTTTTGAGACACGGTCTCTCTCTGTAGCCCTAGTTGTCCATGTTGACCTAGGCTGACCTCAAACTCACAGAGATTCGCCTGTTTCTGCCTCCCAAGTACTGGGGTTAAAGACGTGCCACCACACCTGGCTTTCTTGTCAAAATCTTTAAAACACAGCAATGTAGAGTGTACTCTCCCAGGTTTAGATATACAAAGAATTGCTTTTAGACAATTTATATTTCATTCAAAACACTTATTCTTAATATTTCACTATAGTTATATGATACCTTTAACATAACTGAACAGTAATTCACTTGCTCCTTGTGAGACAAGACACTACTTAAATAAGCTGGCTTAATCCTTACACTCTATATTTAAGGTAAATAAATATAATAGTCTCTGCTCTATGCATTAGAAAACAGAAGTCTGGGAAAATGGAGTAATGAATCCTGTTTTACAGCTCATGAGTGCTGGGACAGCACAGTAAACTGCCTAACTTTGGAAACCAAGGCTTTTGTTTTGTTTGGTGGAGGTGATGGTGTTTTTATGTTTGTAGTGTTGTGAGTCAAACCCAGGGTTGTACACATGCTAGGCAAGCGCTCCATCACTAAGCCTCATCCTAACCCCCATTCTTTCTTTCTGAGACAGGGTTTGGCTATTTAGAGCATGGACCTCCTGCCTCAGCCTTCAGAGTGTTGAGCTTTAGGCATGTATCACCATGACCCTCAAACAAACAGGCATGTACCACCATGGGCCTCAAACAAACAGACATGTACCACCATGGGCCTCAAACAAACAGGCATGTACCACCATGGGCCTCAAACAAACAGGCATGTACCACCATGGGCCTCAAACAGGCATGTACCACCATGGGCCTCAAACAGGCATGTACCACCATGGGCTTCAAACAAACAGGCATGTACCACCATGGGCCTCAAACAGGCATGTACCACCATGGGCCTCAACAAACAAGCATTCCCTTCAACGGCTCTCAGTGATAAACTGCATGAATAAGGAGAAGTTCTGCTTTGTTTTGAGAGACTTGACACCTACCTGTGTGGCCCATTCCTTCCTTAGGTCTAGCTGTATCAGGGTTTCTCTGATTATTCTCTTTCTAGTATCTTCCAGAGTGACTTTATACTGTTCTTTAAAAAGAAATGACAAGCCTTAGTGGGGCTGATCGGAGGGAAAACTGTGATTTATAAATTTTACTGTTCATGGCCCTCCTCCCTCTTGACACACCTCTCACCCTACCCCCAAAGTCTCAAGAATGTATTTAGTTCCTCTAATCAGAAGAAATGCTCCAATAATTTGTTACCACCTTAGTCTGAATTACCTAAGGTCTCCAAGGATGTTTGTATTTTCAAAGGATTCTCTCTGCAGAGGGAGAATTTAAAGCAATACTTGTATATCATCTATCCTTTGGATCACCCAGGATCGGGTGCTTTTAATTTCACAGCGGGCACATACAGACTTAATTATCTATTTGAAACTCATGGTGTACATCCGACTCTAACTAATTAGATTACCAATATTCCTGGCACGTGGTTTCTTGTGTGAGGAAGACACAATGAGGAGAGGGGGAGGAGGGTTGGAGGAGGCAGACCTGAGACTGTGCTCTGTTGGAGAATATTATTATTTTGAGGTGTGTTATTTTTGTTTATGTTGCATTTGTTTAACTCTGTGAAGCTGTGATACTTTGCCTGTCTAAAACACCTGATGGTCTAATAAAGAGCTGAACGGCCAATAGGGAGGCAGGAGAAAGGCGAGGTGGGGCTGGCAGTCAGAGAGGATAAACAGGAGGAGAAATCTGGAAGGAGAAAGAGAGATCTAGTAGCCAGAGAAGGAGGATTCTGGGGGCTAGCCACCCAGCTACACAGCCAGCCACAGAGTAAGTGTAAGATTGATAGAAGTAAGAGAACAGGAGAAGCCTAAAGGCAAAAGTTGACAGGATAATTTAAAGTTAAGGAAAGCTGGCAAGAAACAAGCCAAGCTAATGTTTGTAAGTAAGAATAAGCCTCTGTGTGTGATTTATTGGGGAGCTGAGTGGCAGGCCCCCCTAAAAGAAAAAAACCAACCAACAACAGTGCTGAGCATCTGATAAGCAGGGAGACAGAGATTAGGTGCTGAATTCCCTATCCCCCAGGATTTTCTTTCTTTTTTTTTGTGACTAGGTATACGTGTCACCACACACGTATGGATGTCAGAGCATAGCTCTGGAGAGTCAGGTGACTAGGTATACGTGTCACCACACACGTATGGATGTCAGAGCATAGCTCTGGGCGTCAGTATCCTTCCACCTTGCTTTTGAAGCAGGGTCTTTTGTTTCTGCCACTGTGCAGAGAAGGCAGTCCTCCTGTCTCAGCCTCTCCTCTCTCAGTAAGAATGCTAGGATTACAAGTGCATACCCCAGCATCCAGGTTTTTAAGTTGGTCCCAGGGATCGAACTCAGGTCCCAGGTTTGTGTGGCTTCTACCACTGGGCCATTTCTCCAGTCCTATTTATTAGTGATAGAGCAAGATGAAAAGTTTAAGCCTCAAAAGGTGCTGAGGGATCTTATAACCGAAGCTCCTTCGAAACGAAAATGAAGAACAAGGGCCTAAGTCTGCCTCAGAGAGTGGAGAGAAACGAAACTGTATAAAGGAGGCCGGTCTGCCCCTCCCCCAACAGTTATCAGCTCCATAATCAAGACACTGGGAAAGCTGCTGGGTAAGCCCGACAAAGATGTCTGCCCTTAGCCATGCGCATTCTCAAAGGGCAGCCAGACTGCAAGGAAGAAAGCGGTTATTTCAGGTGGTGATGTGTGTGATAAAGTCAGATCCTCTATTTCAGATAAGAGGAAATATTTGAGCAGAGTCTACCCAAGGTGATAACAGTCAGCACCGAGGCACCTGTACTTCTCCAAAGGACTTTAAGGTGACAGTGGTCAAATTTAGTTGTTCATTGTAGCATCTTATCAGCTGTGTTTATGTAGACCATATGCAAGATGTTGAAAGTCAAGGTGTATTTTCCCATGTGGATAACGTTGGAAATCATGTCTGCTAGATTTTTGGACAGATCCACCAAGCCTTATTTAATTTACGTAGGCGAATTTCTAACCGGTCTTATTAAATAAAAAACACGGAGCCAGAAATTTGGGTTAAAGCCTGAGAGAAATCAGAGGAATAGGACAGACCACACTTCAACCTTACCTCACTGATACCTCAGCTTCCAAAGACGAGCTACTTCCTGTCTACCCACGCCTGTATGCCTTGCTGTTCTGCCATCCGACTTGCTCTCTCTGTCCAGCTATATTGCTTCCTCTTCCTGCCCAGCTCTGCCACTTTTTGTCTATCTGTACAAACCTCCAGACCTCCATGGTTAACTAGTGTTGGAATTTAGGGTGTGTGCCACCATACCTGGCTCTGTTCCCAGTGTGGCATTGAACTCATGGAGATCCAGACAGATCCCTGCCTCCTAAGGGATAGTTTTAAGGGCATGTGCTACCATTGCCTGACTTCTGTGTTTATTTATAATGGCTGGCCTTTTCCCTCTGATCCTCAGATAAATTTTATTGGTGGACACGAATAAAATATCACCACAAACTTATTCTCTGATTAAACAAAAGTACTAAGACTGCTGTAGACCCTAACTGCCATTTAGGGCTCTGTTTCAAGGGGCAAAATTTGCTTTTTTGTTGTTGTTGTTGCATGTGAAGTATTTATTTTCTGGGAAAAAGTTTTCCAGCAAATTTTATTTTTGAAATTTAGACAATCTTTTTAGCCTCAGACACTTTTATTTTTTAATGTTTTAAATTGAAATAGAATTTTATCACTTCTCCCTTCCCTTTCTTTCTTCAATCTCCTTTCAGTTATCCTCCTCAAATCCTCCCATACCCCCTCTCAAGGTGACAGCCTCTTTTTCTTTGATTTTATTTGTTGAACACACACACACACACACACACACACACACACACACACACACACACACATCCTCCTGAATACATTTTTGTTGTTGGTAAGTATATGGTGTCTCAAGGCTGACCACGGTGCATTGAGCAACCAGTGAAGGGGCTCATTCATGGGAGATGCTCATTCTCCTTCTCCCAATAGTCAATAGTTGTCTGAAGTTCTTTGTCTAGTGGTGGAACTCTGTGAAATTGGGGGCATTTTCTTAACAGACCAAGGCCAGACCAAGGCAGCCACAGCAGAACTCTGGGATCTTGGGCTAATGGGAAGGAGATGGCAGGTCTGGTCTTTCAATACCCAAACTGAGGGTGCTACTAGGCAGCTAGAGAGCCGAGCAAGTTCCTGCATCCTCATCTGTACTTTGTGTTTGTGTAGCACTTCTCCCTATTAGATGAGGACAGCTGAAGGTGAAATGACTTCTGGGTACTGTTGTGTTACTGTTCCCCTGACACAATACATTTTGAAAAAATATTTTGGAGAAAATTGAATGTGGCCAACTGGTAGCCAGCCATTGGCGGGCAGTGGTCTGAGACTTCAGAAATTGGGTTGTGGCAGCCAATAATGGCTCATCGGGGCAACTAAGGTAGAGGGGAGTGGAGGCAATTAAGAGGAAGAGCTCCTCCCAGTGGTGGACAGGGGTCAGGACGGGTCCTCTGATAGAGCTGAGCAAGATTGTATGAGGCATGAAGAAGAGAGATGGGCAGGTTTGGGGAGCTAGTCCAGCTTGACACCTAGAAAGTGAGAAATGGAGGTCTGTGTTGTTCTAGACAACATATGCCCATCCACACAGTGTCTATTTCTCATTTTCATTTGGAATATCATGACTATTTAATTCTTCCAGTCTATCTTATGAAATTTCTTTCTTTGATGCAGGCCCTAGCCCATCAGGTTAATGCTAATTGTTTATTTAATCTTTAAACATGGACATCTAAAAGTTGCAGTGGGTCGGAACTTTAGCTGTAATCTATTTTTCATTCTTAGCATCTGAAAGAAATTGTAAAACCTGGAATCAGGTAACATGGTAATTCTTTGCTGTAAACAACCCAAAAAGGATAATCAAATACATTCTGAAGGTCTAGTTGAATTGCCATATTAATACTGAAAAAGCAATATTAACATGCTCCCTTGTTCTAAGCTCTATATAGCATCCTATGGATTGTTTTTTCTTAAAAACAGAATAGAGTGCACAGCGCAAGGGTTATTGTGAAAATCTCATGGCTGCCTTTTGTGATTCCGTTGGTGCTTCCTGTAGCCATGACCCTTACTAGCCACTCACTGTTGAAGGCAGCCAAAGAAAGCAGGGCTATGGAGGAACCTCCTTGGAGAAGTTTGAGACACCACAAGTAGGCACTTGAGAGATTATGAGTTTATGCTTCAAGACTGTTGGCTGTTCAGCTGTTCAATCAATCGTGGTCACTTCTGAGAAGCTAACCCCAAACCATGCAGGCTAATGCTTGTTGGCCAACACTTTACCTTCTGGTTGTCTCTGACTCTCATTTGGTTTTATCAACTGCTGCCTATGGCAGTCTGTGGTGTGATCCTTTACTCATTTGACTGATCCTGTCTCAAGCTTATATCCAATCCCTGGTCCTCATTAGCTTTCAAGGCTAATTCATGATTCTCCTGTCATGAGAGTGTGTGTCTAGGTTCTTCCTGTGGTACTGCATCTGTACCCTTTGATGTGGGGGACACAGTGTGCATTTAAATGGATAACAACTTTTCCTTTGGCCCTTGGTCCTCAGTACCCCACCACCACCACCACACCCAACTCAAGTACCATCTCAGGTTTTTGTGGGCTCACAGCTGGTTGTCCTGTTTGGATAATGAATTATTATGGGAGTGCCCTGGCTTTTCGTTTACTAAACATGGGCTTTCTGCTCTATGGTGATATTTTATTTGTGCTGAAATGTGATTTTATTTGTATGTTAATAAATAAAGGTGCCTGGGGGTCAGAGCTAATAGCAAACCATAGCAGAAGTCTGGCAGTGGTAACACACACCCTTAATCCCGATCACATGACAGGCAGATCTCTGTGTGTTCAAGGACACAGCCAGCATGGAGACACATGCTTTTAATCTCAATACCAACCATAGAAGACCTGGAGGTCTGTATAGACAGGCAGTGATGAGGAGGTCATGTGGTTGGGTTTACAACCAATGAGAAGGCAGAACAGAAAGTCAATAAAAAGACAGACACACAGGAAGTAGGTCTCTTTCTCAGGGGAAGGACAGCAGCGTCAGTGGGTGGTAAGAAGGCGGTCTTGGTCTCAGCTCTCAGCTACTGCTCTCTCACCTCCGGTGCTTTTAACTCTGCGTTTGGTTCTGTGTTTTTTATTTAATAAAACCATTCAGAATTACATCTACACTGCTCATTATTTTATTGAATTTGAATGAGCTCTGCGGCAACTGACCTGACATTTTCTCGGCATTTTCTTTGACTGTTTCGATGTCATTTTGTAAGGAAACAATGAGTTGAGCGTGCTGAGCACTCCCTGAATTCTTGTACTCTTCCCAATACTCCTTTTCACTGAGTTTCTCAAGAAACAGCTTCTCAGCATCATTTATTTGTAAGCGCATTTCTGTTGGAAAGAAAAGCAAGGCACATGTCATTTCTGCCATCCCTGGAACCGTTCTATAGTACAGTCTGTTTTCACAAAGTTAAGGCCTGGTGTTAAAATGCAATTAACTCATAAATACTCTATGTGCAATTTTGGGAAATCAAAACGATTAAGATGATTAGATATCCCTCATGACAAATCTAAGTAAAATGAAACTTTCAACTCTGTAGTAGATACATGGTTTAGGACTATGTAAACAAAGAATTATATATGCCTAGGAACCCACAAACTTCAATCTATGATCGTTTCATATGGGTTCCTGTTGGTTCAAGTCCTCATATCTCATGATAGCTTTGTGAAAATGAGTTTAATGTTTTATTTTATGGTGTATGGGTGTTTTGCCTGAATGTATGTCTGTGCATCACAAGCATACCTGGTACCTGAGGATGCCAGATGGCACCAGATCCTCTGGGACTGTAGTTGTGGATGGTTGTAAACCACCATGTGGGCGTGAGGAGCTGAATCTGGGTCCTTTGTTAAAATACAGGCAGTGCTCTTAATTGCTGAGCCAATTCTCCAGCCCCCCTACAATTTCTTATGTAAAATGGCTTTTTCAGTCATTAATGCCTCTGAGCAAAAATAATTTCAAGTCCTTTGCAGAGGATAACCTTGAACTTCTAATCACCCTCTCCCCCACACACACACACTACACACACACACACACAGTGCTAGGATTACAGGAACACTACCATGCTCAATTTTGACAGTCACTTTTATCAGTCGATTGTTTGATTCAGTCATTGCAGTTTCAATTTTTGGCTTTTCTTTTGAGAAATGCTAGCATACAACAGTCAGAAACATGTCTTCTCCCATCTCCCACACTGTCAGACTGCAGGGTGAAAGATGAGTTCCCGATTAAATAGGTGCAGAGGCTGAACTAAAACCTTCTTGGCCTGCCCTGGTGCACTTGCTAAGCATGATGTTTTATTCAGTTCGTAGGCCCAAGTATAATATTGCCGAAAGTCTGCATGTAGGAAGCAGTTCTCAGAGCCACATACAGAGAACCTCACAGTGGCTTGGCTCACTCCTCCAATTGCCTGGTTTTTGAGAGTCTCCTGAAGGCTACACTATACTAATCATGTCTGCAAAGCCCGCCTTCTTAGACCTGGCAGTTAGCTGGTTGGCTCAGTAGGTGTTTATATACAGGGTGCCCTGAGTCGAGAGGTCTAAGGGACCTTGGGCATGGTGTCCCTAGATATACATGAGATCATAAATCCCCTAAATGGTGCTTGTTAATGTCATTAAAGAGTTGTGAAAACCAGATGGGCAACTATCCTCCCATTTGGCAGACTGCTACTGTCTGAATCCGTGCTACATTTGGCTCTTGAGGGCGGACTAGTAGATGTCATCGAAGTTTGATATATATACATGCCAGCTGGCTTACTTTGACTCCCTTTCCCCCCGTTTTTTCTAGTAATAAACACACAGATATGCACACAAGCTTATACAGAGATTTTTTTTTTTTTTTTTTTTTTTTTTTTGGTTTTTCGAGACAGGGTTTCTCTGTGTAGCTTTTGCGCCTCTCCTGGAACTCACTTGGTAGCCCAGGCTGGCCTCGAACTCACAGAGATCCGCCTGGCTCTGCCTCCCGAGTGCTGGGATTAAAGGCATGCGCCACCACCGCCCGGCGATTTTTTTTTTTTTAAAGGAAAATCAGAGACCTGATAGACAAGAGGTCCTGGATACAGCCAGGCAGCATTTGCCCTTTCTGTGGTTTGCTACTGTGAAGAACACCCAGCTCAAGCTGGACTTTTAGCCACTTGAACATGTTCTAGCTAAAAGCTGGGAGGCAAAGGCTCCAGCAGTGCCTCTCAGATCTTCCTGTGCACCAGAGATCCCTGGAGCTTGTAAAAAAAATGCAAATTCTGCCATCCAAGTACTAACCAGGCCCAGTTCTGCTTAGCTTCTAAGACAAGACTAGAGTGGGTGGATTCAGGGTGGGATGGCCATAGTTCTCCACAGCTGATGGCTTCCGGCAGGGATGGAGGTGGGGATGGGGGTGGGGAAGGACTCTGTTTTCTTTAAGGGGCTGGCCACTGGGAGTTTGACTATGCTCTAGTATATGGGCAACACAAATTGAACTTGGTTTTTTTTTTTGTTGTTGTTGTTGTTTTCTTTTTGGGGAGGGGAAGTCTCCTACAAGGGTGTGTGTAGGAGGGCAGACCTGGGAGGACTGAGAAGTGAGTATGATCAGGATGCATGATGTGAAGTTACCAAATAATCAATACAAATATTATGTTGGAAAAAACGCAGATGCTGATTCAGCAGGCCGGGGTGGGAGGGTGGGGGGCTAAGAGTCTTTGATTCTAAGAAGTTCCTTCATGAGTCTGTTCTACCTCAAAACAAATTTCTTGCAAGGGACTGCCTGGCATGCATGTAGCTATCACAGAAGTTCTTTCCTGAGGCAGTTGCTGTCTCCCTTTCTCTCTCTTCCTTCGTCTCTGTGGCATTCCTTATTCTGGAAGCTTCATATGTCTTGCCTTCCCTCTCCTCTAGGAAGTCATGCAACTTGGCCCCCGCTTAGGTTTTTTTGTTTGTTTGTTTGTTTGTTTGTTTTTAATGTCAACTTGATACAAGCTAGAGTCATATTGGAAGTGGGAACCTCAATTGAGAAAATACCCCCACCAGACTGACCTGTGGGAAAGCCTGTGGTAGATTTTCTTGATTGATGATTGATGTGGAAGGGCCCAGCCCATTGTGGACCTTGTCATCACTGGGTTAGTGGTCCTGAGAGGTATGAGAAGGCAGGCTGAGCAAGCCATGAGGGGCAAGTCGGTAAGAAGCACTCTTTCATGGCCTCTACTTAGTTCCTGCCTTGAGTTCCTGACCTGACTTCCTTCAGTAATGGACTGTGACCTGAGAGCTGTAAGCTGTAATAAATGCTTTCCTCTCCAAGTTGCTTTTTGTTGTCATGTTTTGTTACAGACATAGAAACCCTCAGACAGCATGGCACCCTGTGCTTTGTCCCTCCATACTAATAGGTGCACCGCAACTGAAGCCGTGGCCAGAAAGGAGCTTAGCCAGAGCACCTGGGCAGCCACCGTGACGTCATTGCCAACTCAAGGGATCATTGTCAAAGTGGTTTTGGAAATGCCAGCAAGAAGTGTAGGATGAAAGAACAGGGAAAAGAAATGCAAGTATTAAAATTACGCGTGTAATTTACCAGAAGGGTCACGTGTTTCCAGTAGTAAGAGTATGTCTTGTGTCTTCTACTGCCATCCCTAGAATCATTTCCCTAACTCCCCTTTCCCAATTCTAAGCTATCTTTCTCCAATCCAACATGGGGCTTAATTCCATTAGATTGGGGAAGGGATGCCCATGATTACATTCACTTTATCATGCCCAAATCAAAAGCAAAGGTGAGGTCAACGAAGCCCTTCAACAACAGAACTTCAGACAAAAGGACACCCCCTGGGAGAGCTCAGAGCTCAGGACACCAGTGGGGCTGGAGGGCAGATGGGTTTCATTCCCGGCCTAGCTCCTTTGCCCTAGTCCTCCTCCTCACTGGGCCTCTGCGCATGTCATTCTTTCCTACTCCTGTCTGTATCCCTGGAAGGACTGCCGCTGTGGTAGAGATGACGTAATCGGAAATACAGTCACAACATTTTGAACACACTGAAAGACAAAGGCACGAACGAATACAGCATTCACGATAATTTCCCAAGCTTCTAACTCGCCTTTCAAGTTTTTCTCCTGGTTTCTTTCAAACTCCCATTTTTCCTTCATTGCTTCCTCGACGTCCTCCCTTGTCACGATCGGGGCTCCCTCTGACTTCTCCTCAGTCAGCTCTTTCAGGAGGTTCTTTATGTGCCATTTCTGTTCTTCTTTGAGGCGTCTATTCTGCCGTAGACATCAACGGTCATTAAAGACGTCTGCTCAGCTATTTACACTGTTTACCCAGAACACAGACACACACTGAGGCTTGCGAAGGGGGGAAACACGTTTACTTAACTAAGGTATACAGTGCTGCCTCTAAGAGCTTACAGGACATGTAAAATTCAAAATAAAATCTACCAGTGCAATAACCATCAGTAGAATGCTGTGTCTTTAAGAATATGCTACCAATTTTCCAGTCTCTCATCCTCCCACGGGCTCCACGGACATTTAAACCAAACCTTGGAGCTAATTTTTTTGAACCTTCCATCAACCCTGCTCTTCTCAAGTCTCCCTAACTTAGCCATCTACCGTGTGTGTGAGGCTGTGTGCTGGGCAAAACGGAAAAAAGTCGTGCTGTTCTAGAAACTCCATTGTTCTTTGCTCTCATCACAAATGACCCTACTTTGTTCTCTTCTTCTAGGATAATGGTTATTCACCATTCCAGACTTTACACTGGAAATAAAAGACATGTTATTCTTGTGGGTGTCTGATCCACGCTTCTGAGATGTATATCTAATGGACTTAAAGTTTATTCTAGCCATTGTTGTCTTACTGTGCGTTTCGAGGAATCAAAAAAACGAGAGAATGAACCACACACTAACCTGCCCTACAGTAATCACCATCGTGAGTCCTTTATGATGCAGTCAATGGTATCAGAAAATGACTTGAACTCATGAGAAAACACAGGAGTGGCAATATAAAGAACCGCACAGGTAAATCTGAAACTTACGTAATTTTACTTTTTGAAATTACATTATTTTAAAAACTATGTAGTGTTGCAGTAAAGATAGACCTACATTTCATTACCAACCAATCAATCACAATTTATTAAGTGTGTTTTGTATGACAGTACCTCTGAGGAGGGCGGGAGGGCATAGAGCAACATCTTTGTATGTTATTGAGCTTGAGTTGGTATTAATTTTAACTAGATTACTATGAATTAGGATGCTAATTAGAATCCTCAAGAAAGTCACTAAGAAAACAACAAAATAATAGTTAAAAGAGTAACTAGAAGACGTGTAACACAAAAGTCAGTAATGGGAGAAGAAAAGTAAAAAGGAACCTGAGGCAGAAAACAAAGAGGGAAAGGTGGGTGTGGTGGCACACGCCTGTAACCCCAATACTTGGAGGGTGAAGGGAGGAACGCGGTGTCTCAGTCCTGACCACCCTGGACATAGGAGTGCAGGTACTGACCAGTGCAGAGTGTGCGCTAGCCCCTTTGAAGGCAGCCCATCTTCCTTCGTGCACGGGATCGCACCGTGTGGGACCTCAGCTAGATTGGCAAGGCGTCTTTTCACTCTTACTATCCACCTGTGCCTGTTTTAATCCTTGTTACAAGTACTGACCACTGTAACGACATCAGAGTCATGGGCATACCCCCAGGAACTTGTCAAGTTCCACAGATCAGTGTGGAGTGGACAGGAGCTCTCATTTTTACGAGAGAGAAACTGAGGCTGATGCCAGATTTTTTTCCAGAAAGATGCCACTAGAAGGTCATACAGTCAGGATGCAAACTCAGGACTCTGACTCCAGAGTCCATTAAAATGTAAAGATACAGCCTTTAAAAACAAAACTTCAGCCAGGTGCAGTGCACACGTATAATGCTAACATTCAGAAGGCTGGGGCAGGAGAATCATGAGTTCAAGGCCAGGCTGGGAGGTATAGTGAGATTCTGTACAGGTGTGTGTGTGTGGGGGGGATGGTAAACAGTTAACTGTAGAAGTTTCCAGACCATACAAAGTCAATCAGTGAAGGAAGGTGTGTCTTGTTTCTCCTTGTGACTGTGATCTCCGAGGACATAACTTGGGTTCATTATCATTTTCCATTTACAGATCCATCATTTCTGTTGTGATGGACACAGCCGGCATCCCTTTGTTATTCACATTAATCTTATTTTTAAACATTTTAATTGCCATGTATGTATGTACGTATGTGCATGGATGCATGCCACGGAGCATATGTAGAGATCAGAGGACCATTTGTAAGTCTCTCTGTCCACCACGTGGCTTCTGTGGATCAAACCTGGGTTGACAAACTTGGTAGCAGGTGCTTTTACCTACTGACTGAGCTGGTGACCCTCAAACTGACTTTTACAGAATAATCTTTAAGTATACCATTAGTGATTTTAACAGTCGGGATTATTATCGTTCTAAATGCATTTACATGTGCACACTCTGGGAAAAGCTGAAACTTAGACTCAGAGATGGAAAAGAGAGAAGCGGTGTTTTACAGATTGGATAAACAAGAAGTCCAAAGGTAAATGTGATTTCTAGGGTGTCTGTCCTCACAATCTAAGGAACATGATTGAACTGACTCCCACTGGCATCCTGGATACCATGGGAACAGTAGTACCTGCTTGCCTCACATGCATGAAGAAACCTGATTGTAAGTCAGCCGATTCCAAGCACTGAAGAGACGTTCCATCATGACTCGCCATGGTTCCGGCATACATGCTCAGTGCCTACCTACCGTCCAAAGTGACACTTACCCTGTCTTGGTACCTTTGGTTCCTGTCCCTCAGCTTCTTGATCTGAAACATGAACCGTTCCACTGCATTCTCCTTTATTTCACGACTGAGAAGAAACGAAGATGTGTGGGTTAGTTCCCTCGGGGGAAAGGTAATGAGGCTACATTTTAATCTTAAACTAAATTGCCAAATACCTTCAAAAGCCAATTTAGGGATAAGACTCTCCTCTATGAGATTTTTGTCAGGCTTTTGTTTGTTTGTTTGTTTCTGAGATGGGGGTCTCACTATGTAGCCCTGACTGACCTAGGACTCGCTGTGTAGACCATGTTGGCCTTGAACTCGGAGAGATCTTGCCTCTGGCTCCTGAGTACTGGGATCTAAGGAGAGCTAGTGTTTTTCACCTGTTTAATTCATTAAAATATATATTGGGTGAATATCAAGCTTTTAAAAGAAGCATTCCTGCTTTTATTTCATAGATGTAATTTATGTTCTAATTCTCTATAGTCCAGCTTAAAGAAAGCCTAGGAAAGAACACACAGAAAACATGCTTTCTAGATGTTCTCATCCAGAGATGCCTCTAGAATTCTAAAAGCATTCAGACAAAAAATAAAAGACCAAACAAGATTGTCTGAGGCAAGCACATCTTGGACTACTAGAGTAACCTGGGCATGCCCACCAATTCATGCTTGTTACTGTGTGTTCTTCTCTAAGCGTTAAAACTTCCCTGTCACAAATCATTTGTTTAGCACCCAATAAGTATTTGTTGACTACCTGTCCATGTGAAAAACAGAGCAGGAAGGCTCAGGGACAGGAAATCAGAGTCGATGGCTATTTGAAATGCTTGTGCATTCTGTATTTCTGGAAGAGAGTACATCTTGGAACTCTAAGCTTGAGACTGAAGTAGGCTATAGAAATCACTTCACCCAGATTCTCCGTTTTAGTTAAAAAATAAAGTACACAGTTTTAAATCTTGCTTCTTACCATTTCTTGCCTTCTTGATCGCAGGCAAAGCAAATCTCAGGACTAAAATCTCAAGCTGTCAGATAAAGAAAGCCACACCCAGCTCTATGTACTATTATGTGGAATAAATTAAGAAATCACACATGAAGGATGCACTCAGCGAGTGCTCATAAATTCTTGTTGAATCTGCCATGCTATCGGCACTTTCTCCAAAATCTCGTTTATTTTTATGACCTTGTATACCTTAGGAGAGAGGAAACTAAGGCTCCTTCCTTCCACAAGATGAGAAAATGAGAAACAAAGGTAGCAAATCACACAGTGGCCCTCCACAAAAAGACACCAATTTGAGCACCGAGAACACTGATTTAGCCCTGCTTCGCCATTGCCTGCATAGTTCACATAACCGCTTTGGCCTTAGCTTACTCTTCTATAAAAAAGATTAGGAGTGGTAAGATGCCTGCCCGTCTGGCAAGCCAAGACTGACAGCCTCAGTTTGATCCTGAGACCACAATCACATGCTCGCGCACACACACACACACACACACACACACACACACACACGAACACATATACACACACAGGCTAAATGAATGTCTAAAAAAAGATCAAAGGAGATGAGCTCCATAGCTCAGCAGTTTCAAACCGCCACCATTTCTGTTCTCCTCTGTTCCCCATCATGCCACCACAGCCTCGCTGGCTGCCACTTGGCTCCGCGCTGCTTTGGGAATTACAGAGATGGTTTAGAGCAAGGCCTTCATGACCTTTGTCTTCAGGGAGTGCAACTAACTAGTTGTGGAGCAAATAAACACACAAGCACAGTTTACACACGGTGATGAATACTATGTGGGACTGTGAGACAGAGAGTAAATGGAAGGCCTGCCTTCTACCCAACAGGGGAAAAAAAGCCTCTGGCTAAGTAAGGCTTTTACTTCTGATAAAAGAAGTAATTTCTCCCCATCTCTTGTCTCCTGGTGTACACGTGTGCGTGTGCATGTGTGTGTGTGTGTTTGGGGGGGAGTTAGCAACAGAAACCTGGGCCTCATTCATATTACACAAATGTTCTACCACTGAGCTATACCCCCAGCTTTCTAGCTCTCATTTTTATGGATAAAAAATGAAAATATTATGAGTAAAAGTTATCTGAACTGTGCAGGCTACTTGCATAATTTTTGTAATATGGGAATAGACAGATCTCAAGTATGTTGTCAAGTATGGTTGAGACTGAGTCTTTGATGACCTTGAAGAGAGTGACTCCATGGCCACAGCTAAGAACCTTTCTTGGTGATGACTGAACAGTCAGTGAGCAGACTGGAAACCACATCCACCCCAAGGCAGGTCCTCCATAAGAGACACATATACCAAAAACGTTCTTTGCTCATCTGAAATTCTAATTTAATTACTAAGCTTGTATTTTCATTTGTTACATCTGAAAAAGCCTACAGTTTTTACTCTGAGCATTTAGGAGCCAATGGTTGAGGGCTTAGTGTCCTGCTCATCCTGCAGTGAGCAATGCTGATGACTGATTACTAGCCACAGTTCTTAGAGAATTCCAAGTAGTTTTCTGCTTCCCTGGCCCCCTTGTATAGGTCATGGCAATTGCAGGTCTAACTTTGACTTTCCTTGGCTTTCTGAAGAGGTGGGTTTACCGGGAAGCATTAAAACTTAACTGCAGAACCCCACACTCTTGGCTATTAGGTGGAATTTTCTTCGTTTTCTAATTCTTTCCATTTTTATATGTCCCCCACCAATGCCTCAGCATCTTACATATCATGCCGAGGGCCAAAGTAGCTGGGATGATAAACCCATACATATTACAGTGATTTGTTTTTTCAAGGCAGGGTTTCTTTGTGTAGCTGTGGCTGTTCTGGAACTTGCTATGTAGACGAGGCTGGCTTGAACTCAGAGATCCATCTGCCTCTCCTCCAGAGTGCTGGGACTAAAGGCGTATGCCGCCATGTCTGGCTTTTAAGTGATCTTAAAATGGCTCATTTTGACTACAAAGCATAGTGGTATTATGTACCATCTCCCTCCCATGTAGTTAAATGTTACAGGTGTACAGATTTTTCCCTTCCTCAAAAACAAATTTTAAAAAGATTTATTTATTTATTTATGCATATGGGTATTTTGCCTGCATGCATGTCTGTGCACCACTTGTGAGCCTGATGCCTGTGGAGGTCAGAAGGGCTCTATTCCCCTGGAACTGGGGTTACAAATGGTTGTGAGCCACCATATGCATGCTAGGAATAAAACCCAGTTCTCTGGAAAAACAGCAAATGTCCTTAACCTCCACAGTCATCTCTCCAGTCCTAAGAAACATACATTTTTAAATTACAAGTAGTTTTATTGTCTATTTCATCCAGGGTATATTTAAAAATTAATGTGTAGAAATGAAGAGTTTGAAACATCATTTTATTAATCTAACAAATCAGAACACAAGTTTGAATTTCACAAGGTTCTGTACTTTTCTATGTATTTTTTAAAATCAATAATCATACCCAAACCTATCCAGCTACTTTCATTGTAGAAAGCCAAGGAAAAAGTGTAAGGGAGGAAATAAAACCCATCACTAGAAACCATCATTATTTGGCATCTTCAGTATCTGCTCTTCAAAAAGCCACATTCCAGGGAAGCTAGGGCCCTATCGTCGTTTTGTGACAGAGTTCCTGTGTGCATGGGACTGCCTGATCCAGGGCTGTGGTAGGTAGCCTCTGCTTTTCCCGTGTATGCTCACCGGTGGGCGAGAAAGCACCTGGTTCGTGGCAGGCATTTCAACACTCAGTTGAGCGCTTTACATTTCTATTCCTATATTGATAGGCAAAGTGGTATCTTAGTTTTAACTTCATGAGTGTGATTTTGCACCCGAATAAGACTCAACAGTGGTTATTACTCAAGGAAGAAGCGCTGAGTTTACACTAAGTACCAGCCGCACTGGGTGTTGCAGAGATAGAAGATTCAGTGTTCAGAATTTGTTGAAGAAGAACTGAGCAGAAACCACTTTCCAGTGTTTGCCTTCATCTCAGCTCTAAGTGTTTAAACTATCTGCTCCACATAAAAACAAACCCACAAACCACCCATTCAAATAAACTTTGGTTTCAAAATCTTTATTTGTATTTTCTGTTTTTTAAATCTACAATTATATACACACTCATTTCTCTGTCTGTATCTGTATCTGATGTAGGAAAACTAGGTATAAAGGAGAAAATAAGACTCGTTACTCAGAGCTGACAGCTACATAGACTTAGCATAGACACTAAGAATCCTTTCTACACACACAACCACAAAATCTCATAGGCTCGTTTTCTTTGGATGACATTTTTGAAGTCCAGCTGCTCAGAAACCATGAATCACTATCTACTGTGTGTTTACTGCCTTATGATGACATGGGGCAGGATGAGAAATACAAGATGCTGCCCGGGCAGTTCTTCCTTAGATGCTGACAAAAGTTCTGTTACAGGGAACACCCAGAATAAGTAAACGGTCATCAGCGGAACATAAGCCAGCAGGCGTTTGGCTGTTATAGTCCATGGGATTATTTATTTCATTTTTAACAAATTACAAAGAACACAGGCTTGGGAACAGTCATGTATTGTCTATCACAAGCTCATGAAACACTTCTAACATTGGCCTCTGTGTAAACCTCTGTGAAAGAGGGAAAAGACTGGCCTCTGTTGACCCCAATGAGAGAGAGCTGTAATTGGATGTCATCCCAAGACCACAGAGCATGTGAGAACCAGGGTGTGTTCATAGAGCCCAACTTTTTTACACTGCTTACAGGAGAAGAAAGAGCTCAGTTACGATGCGAAATGCATGCAGTGATGCCTTGTCATCACTGAGGGGTACCTCCAGGAATAGGTGTAACCCAGGGGCTGTGTCTTTGTTAGAATTCCGACCCTTTACTCTCTGCCTTCTAGACAGAATGAGAACACAGATGGGAGTTTCTGTAGGAGAAGAGGAATTTTCCCTGATTATTGATAAGACAATTTTCTTTGTACAGACTGAGTCACCAGCATCACAGCCCTCCCCCTTCCCCCCTCCCCCGCCACTTTCAGCCTTAGATCCCTCCAGTAAATGGTTCCCTTTCCTAATCTCAGTGTTCTGCTTGCACTGGCCCTTACTCCCCTGGAGTCTGCCATTTCCTGAAAATGAATGCCTTTTCACATCCTGGTGTCTTTTTCATGAGCCACATTCTTCCACTCTCTCCACAGCTGTCTTCTTCCAGAGAGAAACTCACATGGTTTTTCCAAACCCTCTGACTAGGTCAAGTCCTTCTCTCCCTAGCTACATGTCTCTGCCATGCTTCATCACAGCAGGGATCATGTGGTCCTGTTCACTGCTGTACTCTGGGCCCAGCACTTGTCATACATGAGAAATAGGCAAATAGTTGTTGAATGAAAACATGAATGATTTCATTCTTATCTGGAAATTTACTAACACGTTTCCATGAATTCTTTAAAGATTGCACATTAGAACACCTATCCAGTGCCAAACTTGACAGTTACAAGCTCTCAAGAAGCTATGTGTCGAAATAAAACATCTTCACCTCCTGGGAGTGAGATATTATGAAGTGCTCTCATTATTAAAAATAATTCTTAAGCCAGGAGTTGTGGCACACACCTATGTAGTTGGCGTTTTCTCCAGTCCCACTCAGACCCAAGTAAACACACAGAGACTTATATTACTTATAAATTGTATGGCCGTGGCAGGCTTCTTGCTAGCTAGATCTTACATCTTAAATTAACCCATTTCTATTAATCTATAAGTTTCCACGTGGCTTATGGCTTACCGGTACTTTACATCTTGCTTCTCATGGCAGTGGCTGGCAGCGTCTCCTGACTCAGCCTTTCTGTTCCCAGAATTCTCCTCTCTCTTTGTCCTGCCTATACTTCCTGCCTGGCTACTGGCCAATCAGCACTTTATTAACCAATCAGAGCAACACATTCACAGCATACAGATATGCACAGCATGCCTGTAATTCCAGAAATTAAGAGACCGAGATGGGAAGATTGTCATTGAAGCAGGAAGATTGTTCCAAGTTCAAGGTCAGAGACTCCATCTCAAAAGAAAAAACCAGGGTAGACTGTGACTGAGGAATGACAGACAAGGTCGTCATCTTGTTTACACACACACACACACACACACACACACATACACATACACACACACTTCTTCAAATTGCTTGGATTTGATGTGTAGTTATTTAGAAATAAAGACAAGCTGGAATATCTAAGAAATAGAAAGGCAAATAAAAAGAAATGCCTTCTCCTCTCAGTTTACACTAACTATTCCACAGTGTATTTTGAGGTAAGCCAGCAAGCTGCTGTCTATGTAGAAAAGAACACACTACCATGAAGGGAGTCAAAAGCACACCAAGGAGGGCTGTTTCCCAGGTCCTGCCTGGCATCTGCCCACAGATCAGCGGTGTGATGTCTCAAATCCATTTCAGTTTTCTTGGCAGTGCTTGACTCCATCACTCCTGTGCACAGTTACTTAAGTCTTAACAATGACTCTGTCAGCATGGGGCAGTTTTCAGATTCAGAATATAGACTTACTGGTAGTCCAGAAGTGCTTCGCTGGTAGGCAGCTTCGTATCTTTGGGTGGTCCATCTTGCGCATCTTTTTTATTTCCTTTTCCCGAGCTGTCCATGGTTCTGGTTGGCCACTAAGAAATCTACCTGAAGAGCAAACAGAGGTAAGAAAAGTGAGTCGGCTCCGTCTTGGCCACTCTACTTGTGCTGACTCTCAAAAACCACCACTGGGGCTTAAGACTGCAACTCTGTCCTGGGTGCTTCTTGTCCCCAGATCTAGCACCATCCATAAGGCTGGAGCACCCTCAAGCAGCGTTGCCCATCGTTCTTCTTAATGACCAAAGGCCTGGGTCTCTTGAGCTCTTTATTTCTACACAGTGTTCAGCAATGTGCACTGTGTGTAGCAGCAGCTCAATAAAAAAAAATTATTTAAAAAAAAATCCCACAAAGGGGTTGAAAGATTGTAAGAGCTGGGGGTCAGGGGAACTGGGACAAAATAGCGTCTTCTGGACATGGCAGGCCCAACGCAGGAACCACAGCATACGCAGATGCCTGCAAAGGTCAAGCTGGCCAGCGTTCTAGCATGGGTGGTGTAGCTACTCATGACCCCTCGCCCTAGCTGAGGAGCTATTGACAGTTAGTGGCTGGTAGGGGAGGCTCTTAGGGATGTGCCAGTGATGGCTCTACATGCATGCATATACAGACTCCACAAATCGGACTCAGTAGATTATTAAAAAAAAAAAGAGAGAGGGGACATTGAAGTTGAGGGGTGGGAATGGGAGGGCAGGGGTGGACTAGGGAGAAGTTGTGAGTAAAATATGATCAAAACACATTGTATGGACTATATGCAAAGGATACAAAAATATATTTAAAAGAAGGCTTTGTTCTTTTTTAAGAATCAAGATGCAAGGACCTGAAAGAATTGTGTTTGGCTAGGGTTGTCATCCTACAAATCACAAATAAAAGCACACTTGGAAATATTTTTTAAATGCCTAAGAGAGAGTTACAAATGCAAATAGCTATAATGATGTTGCTTCATTAACTTTTCATAAGCTATAAATTACCTTTATATGAAATAATTAAATTATTAATAACATATTTTCCTTTATTTGTTCTCTCATATATTACACCCTAACCACTATTTCCCCTTTCTCCTCTCCTCCCAGCCCCTCCTCTCCACATTCCTTCTCCTCCAGATCCTCTCCTCCTTCATTTCCCTTCAGAAAACAGCAGGCCTCCCAGGGATATCAACCAAACATGGCCTAACAACTTACAGTAAGACGAGGCACATCCCCTCATGTTAAGGCTGGACAAGGCAACCCAGGAGGAAGAAAAGGGTCCCAAAAGCAGGCAAAAGAGTCAGAGACAGTCCCCGCTCCCACTTTGTGTGAAATAATTAAATTATTGATAATGTTTTTTAAAAAGGAAAACCAAGACCCACTAGTAGTCAATGCTGGAATGAAGTAGGATACTTCACAGGTTTGCCTTAGGTACCAAAGCACACTTTTTAGAATATAGCTTTCCCTAAAAGATTTTTTATCTAATTTCCACTGCTCTCCTAAGATCAATGGCCTATCCTTATCAATGCATTTGTAGTTTGCTATGGTGGGAGACACCATGAGTCTTTACAGTAAGCCTGTGATAATTCTTGGGGATTACTCTTTCTCTCCCATCAACAGACACAACAATTCTCGTTGAATAAATGCTCGGCAGGTGGAACAATCAGGCAAACTTATGTTTTAACCCTAGACCCTGTCACCCCCTTTTTGTGTAATCTTCAGAAAGTTGCTATTTTTGCACTTCCGATTCCTCATCTCTCGAACAGTTGAGAATGATGGTGACCTTATTTTAAGGGCTGTGGGGAGCTAGATAATCGACTATGTAAAGTACTTGCATAGTGTCTCGCATATAGGAAACTTAATAAGCCATATGTGTCTCTTCAGTTACAGATATACATTGTCTTTCTTTAAATTGCAGGCAACTAACTGTGCAGCAGAAGGGGGTCTATGTGCTCACCATGGCCTGGCTTCACCAATGCCTTGGATCACCAAATTGGCAATCTATGTAGATCTATATGGGTCATCTAGATCTCTGCTCTCTAAAATGGAAACATGCTTTTCTCTATAGACTTGCTGCTCATGACCCAGACTTCCACCCATACTTCCTTTGTATCTGAGAATTTTCTAGACAAGTATACATCCAAGCAAAAAAGATTTATTAACATAGTGTTCTTTTTTTGTTTGTTTGTTTCTTTTCCTTTTGAGACAAGGTCTCACTCTGTAGACTTAGCTAGTCTGGAACCTGTGGGAATCCTCCTGCCTCAGCCTCTTGGGTGATTACAAGTGTGAGCAGCCTACCACACTCATCTTCTTAAATATGGCAGTCATTTACAACAATTCAGTATGCTCCACACCAAAACCTACCACACTCATCTTCTTAAATATGGCAGTCATTTACAACAATTCAGTATGCTCCACACCAAAACCTACCACACTCATCTTCTTAAATATGGCACTCATTTACAACAACTCAGTAGGCTCCACACCAAAAATTACACCAACATGGTTCACAAAAACTTATCAGCTAAGAAAAACCTGTTCTCTTTGTTTCCAATGCCATGCTGAATTTTTATATTATTTTCTACTTTAGAATAGGAATTTTTTTTTTTTTTAAAGATTTATTTATTTATTACATATACAGTGTTCTGTCTGCACGTATCCCTGCAGGCCAGAAGAGGGCACCAGATCTCATTACAGATGGTTGTGAGCCACCATGTGGTTGCTGGGAATTGAACTCAGGACCTTTGGAAGAGCAAGCAGTGTAGAATAGGAATTTTTATCTTTACACAAAAAAGCATGCTAATGTTTCACTTTAAAACAGTAATTTACTATTTGATTCTTTTCTTACTCTACTATATTTTATTTAAAAGTTGAGATAAACGCCAAGACTAATCTCTTTCTTTGTGAGTCATATGGAAAAGATCAAGTGCTGTAGTCCTCTCCAGCATTCCCCATCTGGTGCTGGAGAAAACACGACCTCATCTTGTTCAATTACCTCAGTTACATGGTTGTTATGTTTTTAACTCTCTGAATGCATAATTCGTTATTTAACTGCAGCTTACCACAAAGGATTTTAATAAAATATGAAGGAAAATGTCAAGCCACTAAAGCAGGAATGATTCATGCATAAACATACTGCATGTTGTCACTGCTTTGAGGGCTTTCAAGAAAATTAGCAGGACAATTGGATTGCTAATGACAGTACCTCAGAAGGCACTTTTGCATTTGATGATGTCCTGCCAACAGTGGAGATATTCGTAAACACAGTCGCTGACCTCTTGAGGATTTCTACCTCAGTAAAGGGAGGAAGACTAGTCACAAAGTGAATGTCACCCCCAGGAAGGCTTCGTCCAGTATAATTCCTGACAAGTGAATATCTAGTGTTTTCGATAACTGTGGACGTGTATTTAGTGCCTGTTTTGTGGATAGGATGCTACCTGGTCCTAAAGTGTACAACAGAGAAGAAGCAAGTTAGAAACTCAGAGTTACAGGGAGACAGACGCACACTGCAGCAGACCTTACGCAAAACAAGGAGCCACCTGAGAGACTACCGGAGTCATTAAAGGGCTGCTCTCCCTGATGGTCATCCAGGATGGGACGCCTCTCATGCATTCAAGTGTGTGCGCTCTTGCTTGTCTGGTGGAGTTTGAATAGCCTGGCTCATAAAGACTCGGGTCTCTGGGCTCTCCTGAGCCTGGGATTTCCTCTGTTACCATTGTTTTTCTTGTCAGAAAGTGTTTTGAAACAACATTCCCCCAAGTGCTTCTCAGTGAAAATGAAGTTTCCGTAGTAAAAGCAGACATATGATAATCTTCTAACGGACTGCTATCCCACAGTGCTTTGCCTTCATAAAATCATGCATAAACACAGAACATATTCCTGTCTGCAAAGTCTCAGGGGCGGGGCTGAACACCTCGAGACACACTTCCTTTCATCATCATTCTGCCCTAACACCTTTCTGGACCTATGAAACGGCTCCTGGTCTTGCCTGGCTAGTTTTCCATCAACATGGACTTGAAATGAAAGATACGGACCTAGTATTATTAGCAACGACAAAAGTTCTGAGTGAGAGTCCATTGGGAGAGAAAACATGTAATTAAAAGATATGGGTTAAATATGACAATTGTCATAATGTTTAGTTTGCAAGGAAAGTGACAGGTAAGCGGAAATAACAGGTTTTCTTTTTCATTGTTGTGACTGACGTACATGGTTTCTTCTTCCTTCCATTTCCACAGCTAAATCTTACTGGTCCCTCCTTCAGCTCTTTCCCTTCCAACAATGAATTTGCCAACAAGAATGATCTTATAGAAATGTAAATTTCATCACGGCACACCCCTTTCAAATCTCCTTAATTAAAGGCGGGGTGGGGGGGACTGTTTTAGAGACAGTTCTGGCCCAGTCAGCAGTTTGCTCCAAACTTATATAAACTCAAAAACAGCAGAAGTAACAGTAGCAACAAGGCAGCGCTTCCTTCCGGGAGCCTTGCCAAACAAAGGGCAATTAAAAAGGCACAGAACTCATTATAACCTTGGTTGCGAGGCAATACACACATTTAAAAATATTCATAATACTCATATAACTGTAGTTCACTTAATGCTGAAAAGCAATGCTTCAGCAAGCCCATGTCTTTGGAAATTCAAAAATACATGCTAGCCCATAAGCCAGTTACACCCTGGGTGTTCAACAAACACTGATATGAATGAGTGGCCTGCAAACATGCATTATTTACTTCCTTTCCCAATGACCTTCCTTCATTGCTAACAATGTGTAGGCTCCAAATTTGTAAAGAAAAATTGTTTAAGTATCTTTTTAAAAATTAGCATTTTTGCATGGGTTTGCATGTATGGTGTGCATGTGTGTAGACATGTGTGTGGGAGTTTGTGCGTGTGTACACGTGTGGAGGCTGGAGTTTGACAGTGTGTGTCTTGTCCAGTTGCTCTCTGCCTTATATTTTGAGGCAGGGTCTCCCACTTGAGCCTACAGCTTGCTAACTCAGTTAGTCAGTCAGCCAATGTGTTCTGGGGTCTGTCTCCCAGACACTGGGAACACAGGCAAGTCAC